CAAAGCCATTAGCCACCCAGCCCTGCCTTAAGGAGAACTGCATCCAGGAAATTGGCTGGCACGTTGGAGACTGGGGCCTGGTGAGCATTGTACTTTCATGGTTCGGAAATAACTGATTATATTGCTGTGCTCCTCACAAACAAGCTTTGATCTGTGCAGTCTGCACGTTGGCTGTGGCTGGGAGCATATACTGCTTCATTACCAGTCCCTTGGCTCACAGTTGCCTTGTAACTGGCACTAGTAATGCTCCGGTTAATCTGCTGCCTGCTTTGTATGCAGCTGCTCCAAAAATAAATCCTTCTGAGGGGGGGATTATAGTTTCAGTGTCAGTGGCAAAATGCAGCCAATAAGCTGAAACAATCCACTCTTGCTGCTTATTCCCAATTCTTCACTCCATCGCTGTGAATAGCAGAACAGCTCTCTGGCTGAGTATGGCTTAGAGCTCCAGGCTTCAGGACTGGTCATTGCATTTGGTTGATATGGTTTAAAGTACATTTTTATAATTGTTCGGATAACTGTGCTTCAGCTGGATTAGTCTTGTCTTTGTGGAGGGAGCCAGACTCTGTTCAACCTGGGAAAAGCGCTGGGGGGAGGAGATAAGGGTATATCCAATGCATCAGGTGACTTCCAAACACACTTTTTCCCTTCTGTGCTAGCCAGACCAGCTTGTTCTGAGTTAAAACATGTTACATCTGGTTCTTCATGAGATGTGGGCCAAATTTAATAACAGCTAAAGAAGTTGCATACCTTAGTCTGATCTTTCCTGGCCCCTGGCTTTCCAGTATCAGAAGGGCTCCTACCTGCATGTGAGCAAGAGAGAAATACTCTGCCAATGTTTGTAGAGCTTGCCACAAGCATATGTGTTACACAGGTATCTCATCCTCACCCCTCCCCTGAGCTGCTGCTCATTTCTACCTCCTCATCCACAGCTTCCAGTGAGAGGAACTCCAGTTGGTTGCTTACAAGAAAGCCACCAGTTTGCTTTCTTGTTGTAAACCGTTTTTCTTGAACACATAG